ACATTGAGATGCAACCCGTACCGAAGGCTGTGTTCTTTGATCTTCATCAGTAAATGTTTCAAGTCCTCTTCACTTTCAGTAAGCAAGGTTGTATCATCTGCATATCGCAGGTTGTTAATGAGTTTTCCTCCAATCCTGATGCCACATTTTTCTTTATAGAACCCAGCTTCTTGTATTATTTGCTCAGCATTCAGGTTGAATAAGTATGGTGAAAGAATACAACCCTGTCTCCCACCTTTCCCAATTTTAAAACATTCAGTGTTCCCATGCTCTGTTCGAACAACTGCTTCTTGGTCTAGGGCTGTTCTTTATATTACTCAAAAAATGATTAGGTTAAGACACACTCTATACCAGTATGACCCCAGCGTGTTGATTCTGTGTACATTTGTTTGCATGATGGAAAGTGTGTATTCCATTAGACTGGATTACATTCACAGATAAAGGGTTAGTTCTCTAGCACACATATATTGAAGAGAGGTTACAGTTCAATCCATAATATGATCTGTCACCAAATCTTTCCTTCTTGACTTCCCGTATATCTAGAGTCCCTTCCCTTCTCACTGTGTCTCCATCATTATGGTCCACTGACGTGGTAACCTCACCCTGGGCTTCTCTGCTTCCTCCCTGCTCTCCATGAGGCTACTCTTTTACCATAGTCGGAGTGATTCTTCTTCCTGCCTCAGAACCCCTCAGGCCTCCAGTGAAAGTTAGCCCTATCCTCACTGGGGCCTTGGAGGGTCAATCAGATATGGGGCTCCTCTGTCCCCTGCCTGTCTCTGGCCTCAGTGTTCTTTGTTCTCCCCTGTCTCTCTGCCATCCTGGCAGTTTCCTCAGATCCTTAGCACTTGCTCTTCTCTGGAATGTCTTTATTACGTTAAAGATTACATTAAACATAAATGACATAGTTCTGTGAACTATATTACAGTGCCCACCCCTTTTCCTTTAGCTCGCTTCTCAAACATCATCTTCACAGGAACTCCTGTCTACTTGATTTGAAATTACTTACCTGCAACACTGATTAACTCTCTTCCTGGATTAGTTTTTTTCTCCTCTGCCCCAATACTGTTTAACCAGTTACTGTCATGTTGATTAGGATTCATGATGACTCCATATGTGTCAGACTAGAACTGTGCTCTATAGGGTTTCAGTGGTTGATGTTTTAGAAAGAATTGCCAGGCCTTTCTTCAGAGGTGCTTCTGTAGGGAGTTGGACCGCCAACCTTTGGCTTGGCAGCTGAGCCTGTTAACCATTTGCCCCATTAACTTTCTCTGTGCTCTATTTATTAATGTTAATTATTTCCTGACTTCCCTGTTCGAGTATAAACCCTTTAAGGACAGGGACTTTGGTTCCATTTTGTTACTGCTGAAGTATCTTAGCCTACAAGAATGCCTGCCTGCACATGATCCAGTGCTTATCCTTAAATTAGCATCACACCAGGACTCCATTAAGAAGTACTTATGTTACCCCAGAAGGTTGGTGGTTTAAACCCACCAACCGCTCCATGGGAGAAAGATGAAACTGTTTGCTCCCGTAAAGATTTATAGTCTTGGAAACCCTAAGGAGCATTTCTACTCTGTCCTATAGGGTTTCTATGAGTCACTATAGACTTGACGACTGTGGGCTTATATGACCAAAATGGTATTTTAAGGAAAAACTGTCATCATCTAATGGAATGCTAAGTTATGACTTTTTCTCATGTTTTCCTTTATGATACAGGAATCCCAGGATCCTCTTATGCGGTGGCTGGGGAAACATGTGAGTCCTGAAGGAATAATAAAATCCAGCAAAGTCTCCCTTAAGTTTGTTTCATCCTACACATCTGACATAGAAATAACCCCATCTTCTATTCCTGTTGTTACGGACTCAGAAGTCTTCTCATCAGAAAATTTTAGCTTAGAGATCTATCGGCAGAATCTGCAGACAGAACAACTTGGGAAAACAATTCTGTTTGCTGAAGTGACACCCACCACGATGAGCCTTCTGGATGGGTAAGTTCTGATCAGACCTTCTGTACTTATCCGAGGAAACATGTTATAGTGACTCTTCTTTCTAATCAGTGGTGGGAGGCGGGGAGTGAGTTACAGAGCGCTATGTTTTAATAAACCTACTAGCAAGTTCGAGGTATAGAAACCCTGTTCTACAAGAGCTAAAATATCAGAAAAGAAGTTAAATTCAGTTTTTTGGTCTAATAAGAATTGTCTTTAAGGAATGGGATTGGTTTTGTACTTTGGGCCTCTCTTCCTGTTAACTAGACCTTCAGAATGTCCTTAGAAAATGAACATAAGGGACAAAATGTTTATTGGGTGACATTATTGCTTAAAACCAGGTTATTATATTAGTTACGTGTTGATGGAACCAGTACTGAACATTTAGTTAACAATATTTTGCAGGGGCGTTAGGATAGTAAAATTGAATGACATGTAAGCTGCTTTGTATTCTGAAAACCCGCTTAGCTATGCTGCTATCAAATACATTTTAAAAGCACTCTGCAGTCCTGTTTGGATGTTAAAGTATATACTACTTCTGAAAGTTTTCTTTTTAAGTCCTTCTGTTTCATGGACTTTGATTGCTGGTTGAAAATCAAAACAGATGAATTTTTTAACTTCCAAATTCATCAGAATCAATGAATAGTCTTATATAATATATATATATATATATACTAGTCTTATATTAATGATAGTGTAAGAGGTAGAATTATGGAGGGAATGAAAAAGAACAGCTTCTTCCCTCAACCTGAGAAATAGTTGGATCCATGATTTCTGAGATGAAGTTTTCACTCTCAGGACTTTAGATTTGGACAGATTTGTAATTCAACATATGGACATATTTTGTTCTTTCCTTTAATAGTAACTTCTGGGATTTGGTAATGTACTGATTTGAAAGAGAAGATATTAATGTTTTACTGGCTATCATAGAGTTAGTGTTGTTAGGTGCCATCGAGTCGGTACCGACCCATAGCGACCTTATGCACAGCAGAACAAAACACTGCCTGATCCTGGGCCAACCTCACTACTGTTGCCATGCTTGAGTCCATTGATGCTGCCACTTGGCCAATCTATCTTGTTGGGAGTCTTCCTCTTTTTCTCTGACCCTCCACCTTACCAAACATGATTATCCTTCTCCTGTGACTGGTCCTTCCTGACAATATGTCCAAAGTATGAGAAACGAAGTTTGGCCATCTTGGACTCCAAGGCGCACTCTGGCTGCACTTCTTCCAAAGTGGATCTCTTGGTTCTTTTGGGAGCCCATGGCACTTTCAATACTCTCCTCCAACACTGTAATGCAAAAGCATCAGTTCTTCTATGGTCTTCCTTATTCACTGTCCAGCTTTCACATGCATATGAGGAAATATGAGGAAGTAGGAAGGGGAATATGTGAACATTAGTGTGAAAGTCTTCTTTACTGAATTTTGGCCCTCAGGTACTTTTCATTTCAGTGTTTTCTACCTTTACTATGTCTGCTTCTCCCTCCTCCCCTCTCTCCAATCTCCAGTATAGAAGAAAAGCATCCTTTCCCAGTAGAGGGAGCAGTTTTTACTTGCATGTTACCAACCCTATGATAATCCCTTGTTACTCAGTGACTATTATACCATATTGAAGGGGTGTTGTTGTTCAGTTCTCTGCCCTTCTGTGTAACAGAGTGAACTGTTGCTTGGTCTGGTGCCATATTTGTGATTGATTGAAGGGTTGACCTATGATAATTACATTTTCTAAATGAAAAAAAATCAGACATGGTACTTAAAATATTTTGGGATGTGAAGTTCAGATAAAAAATATTGGCATTTTTCAGCTATTCTGTTGTTTCTTTGGACAACTGTGAAAGGTCCTATTCAGTTGGAACAATCTGGGAATACTGGAATCTGGTCACTGAGCCTGTCATGGGCAGTGGATCACAAAGAGGGCAGCAAACACCTGGATGGAGGGGAGAGATGACGCTCCGGTGTGTGATCACATGGCTGGGTATCCTGCACATTACGATTGGGAAAAAAAAAATGTCACGTAAAACTCTGCTCTTGAATACTGTTAAAGTTTTTTTTTTTTCCATATGTAACTTTTTTAAAATCTTGAACTTTTTGATAAAGATTCTGTCTTAAAAAAAAACTTGGGTCTGTAAAAGTTTGTGACCAACATTGAAGCTGTATAGCTGAGCATGAGATTACTTGAGTCAGACCCCTCTGTAGGATTAGAAGTTCAATTTTTTACAAAAGATAAAAATATTTCAAAGTCTTTGGGACCATCAAGGGAAAAGAGCGGAGAGCTGGACCCTACCCAGAGAAGCATGAAGTCAGAGATGGAGGCAGAGACGATGACATGGAGAGATGGAGTAGCTGGGGACTTTAGACACAGAGAGGGAGAGGGGCTGTGTGCTGACAGCCAGGGGGTAGGCTTTGATTGGTTGATGATGCATGGAGGGAATTGTAACCATGGCAATGAAACGATATACGATAGGGTGAATGTAAAACTAATGTTCTCCAATATAAACTATCACATAATTCACAATAAAACATTAAAGAAAATTCAGCCTTTCCCAAGGGTTTTTAAGAACCTTCTTTGTTTTTCTTTTTATCTGGTCTCTACAGAGTGCAAAGAGAGAAATGACTTTACTTATTAATTCCTACCCTCCGCCCCATGCTACCCTCAACAGTGCGAATTGTTATTGTTTAGTACCATCGAGTCAGGTTTTTTTTGTAGCGACCCCATTTAGGGCTTCCAAGGAACGGCTGGTGGGTTTGAACCACTGATCTTGTGGTTCAAGTTGACCTTATGGTACAGTCCCATGCACATCAAAAATCCTGGAAAAGAGCTCTGTGGTAGTGGTGGTTACTTGTTGGACTACTAACCTCAAGGTCAGCAGTTCAAAACTATCAGCATTTCCACCGGAGGATGAGGCTTTCTGCTCCCATAAAGGTTTACAGCTTTGAAAACCCTATAAAGGTTTGCCATGAGTCAGACCCGACTCCATGGCACATAACCACCACCAACAACAACCACAACTTGGAGTCTTGGTGTGGCACCATGGGTGAAAGTGCCAGTTTGCCAACTCGCTTTGAACTGTAAGGTTGGTGATACAAGCTCACCAGTTGCTCCTTGGAAACCCTATACAGAATTGCTGTGGGTCGGAACTGACTCGATGGCATTTTGTAACAACAACAACAACCACCACCACAACTCACCATAGATGTGTCTACTGTTCACATTGGTTCCTTTTGAACAGTAAGATGAAATTCCTCACAGAAGGTGACTCTGTGATCCTGGGAGAGGTTCCGGGGGGCTGCAGCCTCTTTGAGGAGAAGGAGCTTGAAGAGATCACCTTGGTGTTAAGTCAAAATTGTTCACAAAGGGTCCACAAGAAATATCTGAGATATAATTGTTGTTAAGTGCCATCGAGTTGGTTCTGACCCATAGCGACCCTGTATGGGGTTTCTGAGGAGTGACTGGTGAGATTGAACTGCCTAGCTTGTGATTCTAACCGACTGTGCAGTCCAGCACATTAACCCACAGGACTCTGAGATATAATTATATGTTATTATTTCATATTATAAAGAGTTCTGGTATCATAGTGGTTACAAATCGGGCTGCTAATCTCACAGTCAGCAGTTCGAAACTACCAGCTGTCCTGCGGGAGAAAGATGAGGTTCTCTGCTCCCATAAAGATTTACAGCCTCGGAAACCCTATCTATACAGGGTCGCTTATGAGTTGGAACGGACTCCACGGCACATAACAACAACAACAATTTTGTATTATGAAATATAGGGCTATTGCATTCCAAGAATAAGACCAACAGTGTTCTTAAACTACTATTATACTAGGTTATACTATCTGGAGGTAAACACATCCTATTAATGTTATGTTTGTGTGAAAGGAGACCACCAGACCTTTCTTTTGTGGAGTTGCTGGGTGGGTTTGAACCACCAACCGTTTGGTTAGAAGCTGGGTGCTTAATTGTTGCAGTACTAGTGCTTGTTGTTGTTGTCAGGTGCCATCGAGTCGGAACCGACTCAGAGTGACCCCATGCACAGCAGAACGAAACAATGTCCGATCCTGGGCCAACCTCACTACTGCTGCCACACTTGAGTCCATCAATGATGTCACCTGGCCAATCCATCTCGTTGGGGGTCTTCCTCTTTTTCTCTGACCCTCCACCCTACCCAGCATGACATCCTTCTCCAACACTTGTTTCCTCTGGACAATATGTCCAAAGTAGGAGAGACGAAGCTTAGCCATCCTGGCCTCCAAGGAGCATTCTGGCTGCACTTCTTCCAAAACAGATCTATTGGTTCTTTTGGCAGTCCCTGGCACTTTCAGTATTCTCCTCCAACACCACAACTCAAAGGCATCAATTCTTCTACAATCTTCCTTATTCACTGTCCAGCTTTCGCATCCATATGAGGCTATTGAAAACACAATGGCCTGGGTCAGGCGCACCCTAGTCCTCAAACTGACATCTCTGCTCTTCAATACATTAAAAAGTTCCTGTGCAGTAGATTTTCCCAATGCAATACGTCATCTGATCTCTTGACTGCTGCTTCTGCGAGTGTTGATAGTTGATCCAAGAAGAATGAAGTCCTTGACAACTTCAATCTTTTCTCCATTGATAAGAATGTTGTTTATTGGTCCAGTGGTGAGGATTTTTGTTTTTCTGACATTGAGCTGCAACCCATACTGAAGGCTGTGTTCTTTGATCTTCATAAGTAAATGTTTCAAGTACTCAAGAGGACTTGAGTACTAGGACTAGCTAACATTTATTGGAAGCTTTCACTCTAGAGCACTACTTTTACAAGTGCTTTACACCTATCAACCGATTTAATAAACTGTCTCTCAGTGCTTCAGGGTCATCACTGATCCAGAATCAACTGCTAGTATCACACAGTGAATAGAATGCTGGGTACCAGAATTTACCAGATGTGGAATTGTTCCTGTTTCTGAAGGCTAATAATGTCTTCGTGCTTTATAGTCATGTTAGTAGACCAGCAAACGAAACAGAGCA